GCAGGTATAATTCCATGGCTCTTTGTGTCACTTGTAGTTTTTGTATTGATTGTGAGGTTAGTATCCGTGTTTCACTGGCATGTTAGAGCAGGAAGCACACACTGATCGAAAACTTTTTTCTTCAGGCATGGTTGGGAGGTTGTTCTTAAAAAATTATCATTAGCTTGCCGAGTGCCAACCACATTTAACACTCCATTCAATTTCCTTTATTGTGCCACCTTCCATTGATATCCAATGGCCAAGATATATACAGTGGTCTACTATATCTAGTTCTTCCCCAGATATAATCTTTTTCTTTCTTTAGTGAATTTATTAAACATATGATGATCTTGAATTGGTGTTTGGGTATTCTGGGGAAGATGAATTATACACTCCACAGTACTCCTGTCCATTGTGGAAGCCATTTTGTGAGAGTATAGGTAGTCCTCAACTTATGGCCACAATTGAGCCCAAAATTTCTGTTGCTAAAGAAACAGTTGTTAAGTTAGTTTTGTCCCATTTTATGGCCTTCCTTGCCACAGTTGTTAAGTGAATCACAGCTGTTAGTAACATGGCTGTTAAGTGAATCAAGCTTCCCAGTTGATTTTCCTTGTTGGAGAGTCGCACAAATTGATCATATAACCCTGGAACACTGCAACCATCATCAATATGTTGTCAAGCATCCAAATTTTGATCACTTTACTATGGGGATACTGCAACAGTTACAAGTGTGAACAACAGTCATAAATCACTTTTTCAGTGCTTCTGTAACTTCAGTCACTAAATGAATGGTTGTAAATCAAGGACTAACTGTACCAATAATTTAAGATTCCAAGTGCACCCATTAATAAAATAAAGTTGGAAACTCCTGAGATAATTATTTCAAATTCTTGGGAAAATAATAATTTCTTTAGAACTGAAAATGACATCACAGATGCCTAACTGGAAACAGTCCAATCTATCCTGATACTATTTTTATTTATAGATTTTGCTGTATTTGAGGTGATGACAGCACATCAAAAACTGGTTAAACCTCTCTGACTACAGAAGACGGGGGAAAACAAGGAAGAAGAATATGTATCCTAAAAAAAAGTATACTTATAATATGTGAAATGTCTCTTTACTTATGTAATTTTAATGTCTTTCTTGTTCATTCTTCAGTAGAAGGGGGAATGAAGTATCGTTCTCTATGTTAATCTTCATTGTGCAGAAACAGCATTTTCTCAGAAATCAAATAGAAGTCTTCTTAGAATGCTTTAAAAGTGTGATATTTGGACATACACACTCTAATGCTAGTATGATACTATTCTATGCCGTGATATGAATGTCAGGAGTAATTGATTAGGTAGAAACATCATCAAGATATTCTCCCCTCCTATGTCTATGTCATATTTGCTTGGTTGTTTTAAACATTTATATTTAATGTTTGCTTTTTGGTATCTAGATAATGCGAGAGCCAGGAGACCGTATGTTCTAATCCTGCCTTAGGTATGAAACCAACTGAATGGGCCAGTGACGTTCTCAGTACTAGGAAGGAGGCAATGACAAACCACTTCTGAAAAAGAAAACTGCAGGAACTTGTTCAGGCAATTTCTGAGGATCGTACATGACTGAATAGAAGAAGAAAAAAATCTCCCAATGGCGTACTCTGTGTCACTTTGAAAGTAACTTTGGAGTTCTGTGATCCACGGCATCAGACATATTCATGAACTAAATGTACTGTACTTACAAGCCATCCTGGAGTTATATGACCACTCATTCACCGACCATTTGAAGTTACGATGTTGCTGCATGAGTGGTACTTTATTTTTATTTATTCATTTTATTTTGTCAAGCAATTATAAGATAACAGGTATAAGTATAAACATAGTTATGAATACATGAAATGGATACATATAAGAAAAATAAAAAGAAACAATAGGAGAGGGACGGTAGGCACATTGGTGCGCTTATGCTTATAATGATTCCTTAAAGTTCTGTTTTGTCCCAGCACCCCAAGCCATGTGATTACAATTCATGAACTTGGAAAACTGACTTGCACTTATAATGGTTGGTTGCAGCATTCCATGGTCATGTGATTGCCATTTGAAAACTTTCCTGCCATCTTCCAAGAAACAAAGACAATAGGGAAGCCATCAGGGAAGGTCAAAAGTTGCACCTGTAAATCATTCCGAGTTTCCTGCACATCGTCCTGCATTCCAGAGCACTTACAGTACTCAGCTACTCTCACACAAGGGTGTGGTAGCCACTCTCCTCCCTCCAGAACACCTATTCGACACCTGGATGCAGCAACTATTTACCTACCTGCCAGTCTGTTTGAGATCTACCTGGGACATGTGACTTCTTCCTGTCTTCCCCTTTGACTTTGCTTGTGAGAAGCTGTCAGGAAATTGCAAGGAAGTCCCTGCATAACAACAGCAACAGGAACTGCCAGGATTGCCATTATTAAATGATGCAGTCATATATTGCAACCACATTGCTTAGTGGTTGAAAATCTGGTTCCAACCATTGTTAAGTCAGGACAAGTTGTATTTCTTGGAACCAAAATAATTCAAGTGTTTTATGCTGCTGCAGCCATTGTGAGCAGTTCTTTCCCCTGTTTAGAAGAATTCCTGCTTCATCATTAAACTTTAAGTATTATAAGAGAAAAGTAGTGTAAGAAAATGATTACTGTAAATATTATTTTATCTCCCACATAGGCAGTCCTGGGATATTTTGGCAAATAATCAAATACACATTGTGTGAAATAAAGACATAGACTGGAGTATGTGCAAAAGTACATTTGTTTCCCTTTAGTATAAACTGGGGTAGGAGAAGGGCAATGATTTTTACTTCTTGTTTTGAGTTTCAAGATGAGAGTGAATCTTCTCCAACCACTTTTGAAGCATTAGGGAGTGGAAATAAGCAGTATGGAAATGCCCTGATATTCTTGGTGGTATTAAAGCAGAAGCACTTTGTTAGTCTTCTAATGTTGGCAAAAAGCACCCCTAGCCCTTTTGGAAAATTGTATGAATCTAGTATGGAAAGGAGAGGTTGTGAATACTCAAAAAGATTGCCAAAGAGGTCCTGACCATTCACAAAATGGCAAAAATGTCTTCCATAATTAACTTTTACTGTAACAGACTTTGGCTGTACTCAAGTAACCTATCAACAGCATAAAACATATTGAACATTTTAATTTTCTTCCCATCCAGTGGTTGTCCAGATTTTTGCAGCCCTGATTCAGTTATCTTAGGATGTATCCACTTAAAATCACAAAATTATGAGAAATAAAATTGGTGTTGCTCTTTGCCATTTTCTCTAATACTTCAAAAAATGCTCCGCATTAGACCAAATTATCTTCATCTTTCTTTCTGGACAGATGGACACATTTACAAAATACAATTTACAAATCAACATAGTTATTTTCTTTGGCAATATGCCAGCCCAAATGGAATCAAAAGTATACCTGGAAAAGTAACTGCCAAACATAGTGATATTTCCTTTTTCCTCATATTTGGCCACTTTTCTATGCTTCATCAGATTCTTTTTAACTATCGTTTATGATTCAAAGGTGCAACAAGGAAAAGTGATTTATGACCTGTCCTTGCACTTGCCACCACCACACCACCCTCAACATTATGTGATTGCAATTTGGAACTTGGCAACCAGCTCACATTTATGAACTTTTACAGTGTCCTACAGACAAACAATTGCCACCTGTGATCTGCCCAGCCAGTTCCAGCAAAATAAGCCAATTGGGAAGGCTGGAATCACTTAACAACCATACGATTTGCTTTATAACCACCCTAAAAATGGTGGTTCACATGATTTGACTTACAATTCTGATCCGATTTGTGGTATTTAGGTTGAGGAATACCTGTATATTTCTGGATTAGGTTTTATCACTAGAACAAACAAACAATAACACAATGCCAATTATATTAATATGACTACTGTATATTTTGTTGGGTATAACTGAGATAGAGATGCAGCTAAGGTATCTAATTTGTACCGAGAAATAAGATCATTAAACAATAAGAGTTAGTACAACATAGATTACTTTTTAAAAAAAAAGATGATTCCAGACTAAAGGGCTTTCTTATTTCTACAGAAAAAGTCATTTTCCAAAACAATATTTCACCACCAATATTTCTTTTCCTTGAGTTTTCCAGTATTCTGGAGATTCCCAACCAATTAGTGGCTGTGACCATGACTGTTCCTGTTCTCCAACCTCTTCCCTTTTCTGCCTCCAGCAGAGAGAGATGGAGGAGTATGCCTCTGCATAGTATGTGATCCTAAGCCATGCTTCATTCAAGGAGCTGTCCATTCTGTTTGACAGGAGATACTTTCTTCTTGTCCAGCATGAGGTGCTGACAGGCAGGTGACATTCACAACAATAATGATAACACTAAGTGAGATTCAAATAGGATTTTAAATATGTTATCTTTTTTAAACAATGCACATGGAAAGTCCAGAAATATTTCACAAGAAGAGTTCTCCACTCCTCTACTCGTTGTAGAATACCTTATGCCACCAGACTTGAAATTCTAGAACTAGAAAACCTTGAATTACGCCGTCTTCGGTCTAATTTAAGCATGGTATATAAAATCATACATTGCAATGTCCTACCTGTCAATGAATACTTCAGCTTCAACCATAACAACACAAGAGCACACAATACATACAAACTCAAGGTTAACCGCACCAAACTTGATTGCAGGAAATACGACTTCAGCAACAGAGTGGTCAATGTCTGGAATACTCTACCCGACTCTGTAGTTTCTTCCCCAAACCCCAAAAACTTTAACCTTAGACTGTCTACTATTGACCTCACCCCTTTCCTAAGAGGTCTCTAGGGGCGTGCATAAGTGCACCAACGTGCCTACCGTCCCTGTCCTATTGTTTCTCATATTCTTCTTTTATTTTTCTTATATGTACCCATTTCATGTATTCATAACTATGTATACACTTATACTTATTATCTTGTAAACAATTGACAAATCAAATAAATAAATAAAAATAAATAAAATAAATAAGTGATTGTTCATTCAAAAATGTGGGCAATCTTTTTAAAATATAGTCTAACGTGTTCATTTTTCATTTTTTCCCCATGGATTTTCTCAATTGTCAGTAAGATATATGGGTATTTTCTTCTTACCAGATCATTCCCCTTCCGTTTACCCCACTGAGTGATTTTGAAGCAAGCTGTAACCTCCTTTGCATAGGAAGCCATTTGGCTTTTTTCACATAATTCTATATTTCTGAGGTAGTGTATAATGATCAAGCATATAATTTTATGGGTTTCATCCCAATTGGGCTTGCCTCTGTTTCCCTTGTTTTTTTATGTTTTGAAAGTGACATACAGTATACTGTACCCTGACTATTGTACTGTAAGTAAACCAGACTCTTCCATTGCCACTTTTAAAAAAATGTATACAGAAAAATGCTAGCATTAGGACCTACGCGGAGTCTTTGAATCAAGAGGTCTCTTGATTCATTCAATCTCTCTTAGACATTCACACACATACACACAAACTGCAACAAGAGGAGGAAAGTCGGCCAAAAGGGCTTTAAACATTTCAAAGTTTCCATTTGCAGAAGCAATGGGGAAACGTGGCAGGCCAAGGAAAGAACTCAGATGTGAAGGTGATGCTGGGGAAGCTGTTCTAGGGCAGCAGCAACTGCCGGTGATAGATAATACATCCAGGTGCCCGTTCAGTGACATTTTCAACACCAGCAGTGAGGACTCCATGGAGAAGATCAACACTTTCCTACAGAATGTGCAGATTTTGCTGGAAGCAGCCAGCTACCTGGAGCAAATCGAGAAAGAAAACAAAAGTAAGTGGAGTTTTGATTTTCATTGGCTCCTTCTGCTGCTTCTTTACACGCAAACACGCATTAAACACTAGGCATGTACAACAACAACAGAAAATAAAGAAAATGTTTATGAAGATGCAACAAGACAGACTATAGAGCTTGAACCTGCCAATTGAGACTGTTTCAATCTTTTAACCCTGTCCTAGGTCCAGAGGAATTTATATGCGTGCCACGGGATTTCATTAGAAAATATTCTTAGTTTGTTTTTGTTCGGTTTTCTTAAAAACAAAACAAAAACATAACCACCGCCGCGTTAGTTTAAAAGTGATCCAAAACAACGCTGTCATGATAGAAGTACATTTTGATTTATGGATATGTGTGTTGTGTGTTTGTGAAGTGTCATGTCCCCATAAAAGGCTCTTAATGTGTCAAAGCGGGGGTGGGGGGGGTGTCGAAAACTGACCAAACTAGGAGATGGGGGAGGGGAGACCACGCAAAGCAAACTTTATGATCCTCTGGGTAGACAAACAGAAAACACTTTCAGGTTTTTTGGAAGGAATGGCAGGAAAAAAAGGCTTGTTTATCATTTTCAACTCTCGCTTCCTTTTCCTCCCCCCTCCTCCCTGCAAACCCAAGAGAACGTGATTTTCTCCTCCTTAAAGAAAACCTCGCCGAGTAATGTGAAAAGAACAAAAGGGGAAATAAAAATACACACACACACACACGCATATTCCTCCCCCCCCCTTGTGGAAAAGGATTTCCCCAACACCCCTCCCCCTCCTTGCTAATGTTGCCGTCAGCGAAAAAGAATAATCCATACAGAAACGCTCGTTTGCAGCGTCTTTTGAGCAGCCTCCTGGATAGAACAATAACAAGCCAGGAACATTTTTTTTAACCAGCAGGGCTGCCGTTTCTTATCTAGATTAACAACAGCGAAGGTCAGGAGGAAGAAAAATAAAGAAAGCGTTGTATCACGTCAACCGCTGCAGTGGGAAGGAGGGGGGAGAGAAAGGGGAGAATCTAACTCCTTTGGCTTTGAGTTTATTATTTGTATGTGTCAACCTCTCCCCCCCCCCCCCCCCCCCCGTCTCCCTCCCCCCCCGCCGTACAAATATGGGTCTCCCCCACCTCCGCTCCCCTCCTGTCACCCCCCACTCCGGGTATAAATTTCCATTGCAGTTCAAGTAGCTTAGCCTTTTGTTGACCGCCCTCTTTTTCTTTTTCTCCCCTTGCTCTTCCCCATCTTTTTAATGAATAAGTGAAGATGTGGGCATTGTTTCCGGGAGGACGGGGTAGTCAGTGCGAAGACTTCACAAAGCCTTTCTCTCCCCCTCCCCTTCCAGTTTTGCAATGGCTAACACGCTCGCCCGTCATCAATGGGAGTATTTTTTTTAACAGCGCCCTTTGGGCTTTCTGGTCAATCCGGTTCTTGCCGCGGCACCCTGACTTTTTTTAGGATTGAGGTGCAAGGGCCTTTTGGCTTCCGCGCAACGCGATCGCTCAAGGAAAAGGCCGGCTGCCAAGTTAATGGAGGTATCCGTCTCCCCCACCCCCCGCCACCCCGTCTCGGGAAGTCACGTAGGCAAAGAGTGAACTAGCCAGGTAGCCAAGCGAAGGGAGGCGGGGAGATGGCGTCGAGTAGTCCTCTAAGCAACTCGGGCAAAAGTGAGACTATAATCAGTTTATATACCGGCCATCTCGTTTCCTCAGAACCGGAGATGGTGCGGATAGAACTAGGTCAAGCTGTGCCTCTGTTGTTTTCTCCACTCCCCGAAGCCAGACGTGCACAAAAGCATCCCTCCCCCCCACCACCACCAAAGAGAGCTCAGTGGGGTCTTTAGGCGTTTTCTCTTTTTTCTGACTTTGCCAAAAGCTGCCCCGTTTTTGCTGCTGCAGAAAACAAAGAGACAGAGAGGAAAAACAAACGTGTGCGCGGCGTTTGCAATTTCCCCCCAGTTCAAGCCAAGTCAAAAGCCACAAAAACTACGGCACAGCCCCTTGCCTACTTTAGGTAGGAAACTCGGCCGCCTAATTGTTTGAACGCGGGGCGGGGGATAGGTGAACTCGGTCGTAACTGTTTCCAAGAACATGTGTTTTTTTGTTACTTCAGGTGTTAAAATGTTTTTTTTTTTAAATCGGAATAGTATAAGAAACGGGTCTCCTCGGCAGCCAGCTAATTTATCTGAATTCACCCCGTGTCCCCTCCAGAAATATTTCTACCCTTTAGAAATCCGAGATCCTGATGAACACCAATGTCGTCTCGGATCTTTAAGCTTTTGGATGCTCTCCAACTCGTTTGAATAAAACGGGAACTAGGAGGTCGCCTCGTCTTGGTGTCAGCAATTAACATCTCGGTGGAAAACACAACTCCGTCAGGCTGCCAACGTGTGTGTGTGTGTCCGCGGCTCCCCCCTCCCCATCGAGGAACAAGACTCGTGGAGACTTTGCACGTTTTAGAAATCGGCAGGCGGACTGCTATTGCTCCACATTCTGCGCGTTTCAGAGTTGCAGCGATTTAGGCTTGAGGACAACCCACGCGTTTGAATTTTCCGTAAAACTTTTTTTCTTCCCCCGTGGGAGCGGCCAGGGCAAGTCTTTTTTTAAAAAAACGTAAACATTTAACAGCCTCTTGAAATCCCAACCCCCACATCCTTCTTAAAGTTTCACCCAGGCAAAAACAAACGGCGCTGCCTCGACTGCGCTCTGATCCGCCTGGCTAGTTTACAGTATAATCAGTCTCGGCTCCTCCTCCTTCTTAGAACCACATGGTTTCCACATGGAGACAAACTCCTCTCTTCCCATTGGCTGTACTCTAACTCGGAGGGCGTGGTTATTTCAAGCCATTCCACCAATGAGCCGCTCTCTTATCCCTATGATGTCACGCGTTGCTGAGCCTGAAGATCAATAGGAGGAGTCTGGAATGGAGCGGAGTGTCCTTGTTGGGAGTTGTGGTCAGATGATGTCATAGTTTCAGGCTTAAAGCGACAATGCTGTGCTTTGCGCTCACAGCGTTTCCAAGTTGAAGATTCACAATAACAATAAGGGCCTGAACGGGTGCCACGAATTCCAATCCTTGCTTGCTTAGGCAGCGATACGGGCAGTGGCAGATTCGTACGAGATTGCAAAACAAGGGATTAAGCGTCTTTCACTTAACCTTTACCGGCGAAATTATTCCTAAAATATTTGCCCCCGTGTGTGTTTATGCAGATACAAGGAGACACATTTATGCTTTGTTAAGGAATATAAGTTATTTATGTTTGAAAGGCGTGGGGCGTTGGTTTTTTTGCTTCTGTACTTTTCCTTAAGCAGGATTTATTACCCTCCAAGTTAAACTGTCAGAAACGAATATGGCCCTCTAAAAGTTTCCAAGATGTTTGCAGTCTTACAACACACTTTGCTTTTAATTTATTTAGTGCAATGTCAAAGGCTTATGAATCCAGGCCATTATTGTAACTGCTGGTATGGAAAGGACAGGCTAACTTGCACTTGCCTCTTGTTTACCAGTTGCACATTTAGTATCGTTTTTTCCCTATACCCAACAAAACCAGGGTTGACCTGGAATTTAAGGGAAACCTGCAACTCTTTTATGTTGCTTAATGTTTGCTTTAGTGTAAATTGGATTACCTGGCATGCAACTGTTTGTTGGGTATTTACATCTCTCTGAACAGCAAAACTTTTCATTGTACTAGAAAATTAAGCAAAATTCTGTGCAAAAAGCAAGAGGAAAAAATAGCAATATCACTAACTATTCTGCTACTTGCTTTCAAGCACCTAACGCTTATAAACCCAAAATGTAACATAATCACAGCTTCATAAATCCATTTGACAATTGGTTTAATAATATTAAACATCTGTGCTGATTGAAGTTGTATTTCACGTTGTAGGTCATCACTTTTTTCTTATATGTGTGTTTTAAAGCAATTTTATTTGCAACATAGCTCTATTTAGTATAACCTCAGTTTGTGTAAGAGTTTCTCTATATCCAAAGGGACAAGTGAAAGAGAGATTTCTATATTCAGGAAAGAAAAAAGCTGTAGTGGCTACAGTAGAAATCAGGAAAAATGTCTCTGGATTCATTATGGAACAATTTACTTATGCAAAAAATGTTTTGTTACATAGGATCTATGCAAGAATAATTATTTTATCCAGACTTCGCTAATCAATATGCCCAAAGCTATCTATAAAAGCTTTTAGTTGTTCATTTGGGAGGTTATAAAGAGAATCATAACATGATTTTAATGATTTTTAAATATGTGACACAGGCAACTGCAACTGTGTACGTGATGCATCAGGGCTACATTTCAAATTTTGAGACATCCATGGTTGATTAAGAGAGGTGATTTTTAGGAGTTGAATTTCCAGTTGCTCTGGAGGGCAGATTGGCAAAGACTGATTGAAAATAATGCAGCAAATGATTTCACAAACTTTATAATATTATACTACACACCTAAAATTGCCTAGTTTTATTATTAACATTAATACTGCATTTGGCTTTCCATACCATTGACAATACTGCATTTTTTCTGATGTATACTGATAAATTAGCAAGAAAGTACTTTATATATTAAAGTGTGTGTGTCTGTAATGAAACAGCATAATGCATTACTGTTAAATTTTGTACTCCTGCAATTACAGTGAGTTGTAAAATATCAAAGCTTTACAACATGCGGTTTTGTAAGTGCTATTTGGCTCTTCCATTAAAATATATAAATGAAAAGTATTTAAGTTCTGCTTAAATATTGATTTTTCAAACTGGCATGATAAGGTAGCACCTACAAGTTTTGTAATAAATGTTAAACTCTGGTAATTGTTTTTTTTTTTTAGATCATTGTCAAAATCTCACTTTTTAGCTGGAGGCATATGTAGCTGTGAAATCGAATGACTTTTCTTTAAAAGTTGTTCTTTTAGAAGTCTGAGTAAAACGAACTAAAAAAAAAAAACCACAGGGTAATAATTAGGTGACAATAGCAAATGAATGCCCCACAAAAACAAAAGGAATGAAACATTAAATCTGCATTAAA